TTAAAGGAAATGAAAGCTTATGAGAAATCGTGGAAGCAGTCAGAATATGACTGCAGATAATACACTGAAATGATTATCTACTTTCGTGGCCACATTGTCCGCCTAAAGGGATAAAATGTAACAATAATGACATCCTTCATTTAGTCATGGTGCCGCTGAAATCCTAAAGGAAGTTATCTTCTTAATTGATAATAGCCAATTGTGTTCGCCGGGGGTACTTAGTTCCACCAGTTACCACATGCTCACTTATATTTGCCTTGTTTTATTCACGTTTCACCTTTTTATTCATCTTATTGCATTTGAACATGACAAATTCACATATTATTCGTATTTCCGGATGTACTTATTCTCACTGTCGCCTACCCACCTATTTATTCGGAATTTCGTGCTGACTTCTCCATTCATTGGTAAACATAGTCAACTGTGTTTCGTGATCATCTGTATCAGTTTTATCACAACTGTCTGCTTCAAGTCACTACCACATTTTAACCCATATATACCAAAACTACCTCTCTGTTGTAATCCATTTATAAATACGGTCACAAGGATGTGGAAATGATTTCGTTGGAGAGAGCACGTGTGTGATAAGCATCACCCATCTCCGGTTTGCTTTATGGTTGAAACATAACCGCTTAAGTTGGGTGGTATGAAAATATTATTTATTTGGGGCCACGGACGCCTGGTTGGGATCCTTGAGATACTAAGATGGTTGGATAGTATTGGTGACGTTTCTAAAGTTCGTTTCCGCTACAATATGAATTCTATCCTGTAATCTCGACTTAGCACGAGAATCCATCAGGTTTTTTAATGCTCTTAATCATGAAATTATTTACTGTATAGGTTAGGTTGAATTGCGAGAAGGTAAAGTGCAACATGATGCTTACATATGATGGCACACCAGTGAAAATTAGTGCAGCATGTCGTTTGCTAATTTTTTGAAAGCAGACGTTCCTGTTCAAGATGTTTATTTTTCGGGTTTTAAAGAAAAATGGTTTCATGTCATCAGAAATCGTCAAATCGGCCGTCATTATTTCTGTTGTGAGAGCTTCAAGCAACATGGAATGTTCCAGTTAAAAACACTCCATTAAATGTGGTAGTAACTTAACTGACAGACACCAACTCATACTGCTGAATTACAGTCTCATACAACCTTTGTAATAAAACTAAAGTGCATGCAGTATACAGATCTCCCCAATGTGAGAGATTCAGGAATCTCTAAGCCAATTTAATCTCCACTCCTTGAACCCTTTCTGATATATCCGCTTTTAAATTTTCAGTAAGGATGTCAGTGCTGTTGAAAACTGAGTGTATGTTCCAGTGATGTGGCTTATTTGAACTAGTTTCGTAATGACGTAAGACAAGGGCCAGGCAACAGCTGCCTTACTGAGAAAATCAAGACACATTTATAGATTTTTATGTACATTATTGTCAGCGAAGAAGCAACGTCTTCTGATTGGCCGCTTTCTTGCTGGAGGTAATTCTGTGCTGCTTGTTACCATTTCTCAGAAAGTTAAGCCGTATATCTGCGAATCCCATTTGCACACTTTAGGTCTGCGTGGTTGGTTGGTGAGTTCCTCAAGGTTAAACTCTGTTATTGTTTTTCTCATGACCCCGATTCGGGACGTAGTATTGAAGTGAATTGCTGTTTACAATTCTTAGCTTGCAGCCAGCTGTCACCACGGTTTCATTTTCTTTGGGTGCAACAATCCCTGCCGTGACTTTACCGCTTGCTCGCTGGCTGAAAATCAGAAACAAAATCGGAAGTATTAACGTATCCCATACTGACGTTTATTTGTGGTATATCACACCCACTGTTTTTGAAAATCATTGAAGCAAGGCCATCCAGTCCCGTACTAGTAGAGGGTCTAAGGCTTTTTACTGCTTACTCTATTAATTGATTGGTGAACACTATGCTTCCGAGGGAAGAGCTAATAAGGGGGGTCAGCCTATTGCTGAGATGCGACCACGTGGGCTCTGCACAGATTTATGGGGCATCTTACAAATTAACATGCTTTCCTTTGTCGTATCTTCGAATATCATTTAACAATGTCTCATCTCATACATTTTCTAATAACGTCTTCACTTGCTCATTATATTCCACTAAACCTAACATTTTATAGCTCTTTATGAATTTGATTCGACTTATTTTATTCCTATTCTCTATAGGGTACGGTTGTGTACCAAACACAAAAAGGTATGAAATTAAAACAACCGGCTTGTGGATAATTGTATTAAACCAAAAGTGGACAACATGATAGTAAAACCTATAGGGTAGCATTATACATTGCAAAGGAACTTTGTCAACCTAGGGATTATAGTCTCCCATTGTATTTCCCTTATGAATGCATATATTAATGATACATTGCATTTACCTATTTCATTACACTTTAATGATTCACCTTTGCACCTTTACTTTTCTAAAACAGCCTACTATCCCTTGTAAACGTTGTACTTACCTCAATATTGGTTGGTTATCGTATGCCTACAACTACGGGTTGAAAACGAAATGAAGTCGATTTTCCTGCGCAACCTGGAGGACTGCTGTTTAATTCAATAACGATACGACATGGGTCAGACAAAGAGTGTATTTATACATATGTCAAATATTTAGCTGTTCAAACATTACTCACTTGTAGACAATCTACTATTTGACATTGTATCATACTTGATCGTGCCTGTAAAAATGGCATGCATTTTCATGTAAATTTATGTTTATATGAGAATATAAAATTATTATTATAAGTTATACGCTTCATCACCTCCACGGCCGAGCAGTCAATCAGATTTTCAGCTTTATTTAGGATGTCTGGAGACATTTTAGGATGTTTTTTAACAGACAGGCGATTAGGTCTAAATCTGCAAGCTTGTTTTGAGTTACATCTAGTGGAGAATTAACATGGCCAATGTCATAACGACTCCGCGTGATTTTTGAGATTGACAGTGACATGCTATCAAAATGACCTAATTTTTCCTGAAGTTCACTTACTTGCCTCTGGATATCTTTCACAAGGAGGTTTAGTTCACAGAACTCACAGTTCTCTAACAGATCATCTTTCACCTGTATAACAGGGGTGAGAACCGCATTCAAGCCATTTTTTGAGCTAGTAGTTGATACTGTATTACAGGGCGGTAGTGCAGTTATAACCGAATTGGAGCCACTATCTGAAACAATTGTGTTTCTACGAACACGTTTTTAAGAGATTTGGAACATAATTTCAAGGATTATATCACAATAAGCAGTAAATAAATATCAGAGAAAATGTCGCCAGTTTCAAACGTGCCTCCAAACAGATAAAGTCAACACCTGTATCATCAACCGGTCTATTAAGATACGTTTCATTCACCTTATTTTCTGCTAAAGAGAATGACCTGCCCTAAAACCGTGATGTTCTTCGGCTAGAGGTTTATCACTCTTTACACAATGAATAACAGCACCATGAGTAATTTCCTTTAGCTATTAATCACTAGACGGTTATTTTTGAACCAAAACATGATTCCGGTTTTAGGGACCATCAGCTAACTGAGTAGTGCTGACAATTCTTCGTCCCTGGTCTACATGAATGTCGATAATGTACGTGTTGGCAGTTCATCACAGCCACTGGATTTAATTAAGAATTATCTTTAGAAGCAGTTTTGGCGTTCTCAACTCCTTAGAATATAGAGGTTCCACCCCGAAATCATTTTATGGGACTATCTACTAAAGGTGGACCATCGTTCTCCCAATACATCTGGCTGAAGTTCCTTGATAAGACTATAGACCCTGGAAAATTTTCACCGATATAACGTTTCATGCCTTCAGAAGCTAGAATAGTCGAAATAATGATAACCGCTAAATCAAAGCTTTATACTGATTTCCTGCTACGCTGAGTAATGGCAAAAAGCATTCATTGAAGAGGGAAATGTTTCAATGTATTTCGGCCTAGGGATGAAAGTTATGACTGGTCTGTCCATTCAGGGGGCCATTCCTTGGCTAACTAAGAGCCTCAAACGAATTAAATTACGAGGTATTCGTCCAAAATGTCTTTGACTTTGTTCCCCATGTTATCGATGGAAGGGTAAGTATTGACTGATCGGTGCAGAGTTGAGGGACCTTCGTAATATCCAAACGCCAAACGTAAGGGAAAACCTGAATTTAAATTTTTTTGACCACAGCTTGATTCCACACCATATTTTGGTACAGGTATGGAATTTTCAGCATGTGATATCGGTAGCCCAAATTTTGCAGGCCGACCATACATATCAGGTGTGCATCGGCGGGGGATCGAACCCTGAACCATGTGCATGGTGGGCGAGAGTCCTAACCGCGGTGCCACCGACGCGATAACGTGATTACTTTAAACCGTTGCTATTCGGGATCACTACTAATTAGAGGGTAATGAATAGATAGACTCTTTATATCATCTGCGTTAATCGTCAACAGTGACAGGGAGGAATCGTGGGTAAGCCCAAAGAGTGCGTCGTCACGATATTTGGAGCCAGGATATTCTCTTCCAAGTTAAGGAGTAGTGTGAAGTTAGCGTTATTAGTTGATCCTAGAGCTCAAAGGACTGCAGTTCACATCCAGTGAACTAAGGTCACCAGTATTGAGACAGTTGTTAAATCCATCATACATAGAATTTTCAGTAGATAAACTGCATTATTCATCAAATATTATTAGATTGGAATTTCAACTTTGCAAGTATTCTCGTGGTTACGCAGGAGATGCCCAATTCAGAATATCAGGTTTGTCCAGTATGTCAGCACTTGAATAGGAAACGTCCCTTTGATTTGCGATTGAAACGTAGTATTTGTTGGTAACACATTTTGGAAAGGATGCAGTTTCTGTAAGCTGTCCTTGTAGTTGGAAAAAACTTAAGTCAGTTGAAAGGCAAATAAGTTAGTAAAACACTTGACAAATAATGTGGATTACACAGCACCACAAATCAATAGAATTTCTGCATGCTGATTGGTACTGCGTCTAATTATGCTATTTCGCTGTTGTTTTTGCGTAGTGTTGGTAAGCAAGTTAGCGGTTGGCGGGAAGTTTGCGGGTTTCCGCTATGGAGCAGAGTAAAACTGTAAGTATAGGCATTACTTGTCAACGTGTTGACTATTGTCCGTCTATTTTGATAAAAACCAAAGACCTTTTTCCTTGCTTCATACTTAGAGTTTCATGTGGAGCTTAGTGTTTGTGCATCCTAAGATTCACAATTGGGCAACTGTAAAGGATAGATGTCACACTTAAGGTTCAGGGGCAATAACCAGTCAGGTCGTTGACCTTTTAAAATGAATTTATGCATGGGAAATGGTTCGTCGTCTCAAAAGACAGCACATAGATTAGGGCATAATTCTGCTGAATGAATGAAACGTGTACTGAATTGTGCTTTTAGTCATAAATAAAGTTGGCGTTTGAATTGTTGTTTGAATTATCAGACACTCCATACAGGTTCATCCATGTAGCTATCATCAGAAATCTATTTTCCTACTTGATGCTGTTTCTCAAACTGCGGCAAAGGTGCTGAAGAGTTGGAACGAAGTCACCTTATACGTAGTTCATCGAACACAATTTGTCTCAACCGTGACTTCAAACCTAGGTCTACTGTAGATTCCAGAGCTCTAGGGGTTTCACTTGATCACACTGGTATTCGAGTGTACTAACAGATTGCAGTAGAAATTTTGTACGAACTGTTCTGCTATGTCTTCTCAGGTGTTCCGACGCCTTTGGGAAGGGAAATTGAAAATACATCGTCATAAGGTCTGTAATCATTGTTTAAAATCTTAAAAAGTGTAATGCAATCCCAGTGCCTACGGTATGATAAGCAGAGGATATTCTCACTGTTTAGTCTTTCATTTTCTGATAAACTGGTCATGCCAAGAATCATACATGTTACCTTCTTTTGAACCCTTTCTGCAATGTATAAGTAGCCGTAAGACAAGAACTGGCTTCCTGGATGCAGTCTTGACCTTACTAGAGATGTATATTAGTGTACATGTATCTGGTGATCCTAGTAAACACTGCGTTTTGCTCATAAAGGTCTATAACTACGAGCTGCCATCGAGCGGCAGTGTGCTGTAGTACTTAAGTTGTGACTTATTATGACTCCTAGCTTCATATGAATTTGAACTGATGAATATTCCCCCTAAGATGTAGGAGTTAACTCGTGCCTGTACAATGCGCATGGTTGCTTACCTTGTTACGTTGATCAGGAGCATCCATTCTCTGGACCAGTCTAACAATCTCCTTTTAACGTGATCATGTCAGTATCGACCTTTACCTCTCCCCAAATTTATAAGTCGTCTGCGTAGAGCACCATAAGGGATTCGGTGAACACAGGTAACTCGTTGATACACAATATGAGTAATGGGCTCGAGTACGGCGCCTTGTGGCATTCCCGGAAGAGAGTTTTGAGTTGGTCCTGACACTGTCTTTGAGGAATTTTCTAATACAATGTAGGCAGCCTCCCTTGATTTCATGAGCAGTATTGTGTCAGTTACTTTGCCGAAGGCTTTTCTAAGGTCTATGAAAGCAAAGTCAACGGATTGTTTGTTATCCCTTGACTTAACCTAGTTTTCTCTTGCAGTAAGTTTTTTGTCAGACATGAGGTGTTTCCCCGGAACTCATGGTATTGTTGTTTTCCAGATATGCGATGATAGCTTTCTTGATTCTTCTTTTCAGTACCGTGATTAAATTGCTGGTTTGAAAGACTCTTGATCCTTCTTTGTGGATGGGGTTACCATGGTGTCTTTCCAGTCACGCGGCAACACCCCGTTCAGGAGAGACAAGTTGAAGATCATGGTCAGTGTGCTGGCTATGTGAGCTGATGGCTCCTTGAAAAGCCTTGAATGAAGGTCATCAGGTCCCATTCACACCCCTGCATCTGGTTTCCGTAGAGAACTGAGTACGAATTTTGATCGTGGTCACATTCTGAGATTCCAGTTACTTACTATACGTCCTTGGGATATTTGGGGAACATGAGACACTGATGTTCATCTGCAAATTTGTAGATCATGGTCCTCTTCGAAAGCTTGTTCAGGGAATTGAAAGAATAGTGATTCTCAAGAATGCCTCTTAATTAACCAAGCAGAATAAACCAGGCGTAAGAATTTTAGAGAGGATAGGTTTCTTTGAAATATTATAAAAGTAACTCCCTGTATCTCTAAGGAGTTTGGGTATTCATCCAAATAACTATCATTGTTCGGGAGAAACTGAGTATTAAATTTGTGACCTGTTTATATAAGGTTTAAGGTAAGGTAAATGTTAGGTTAAAATGAAGAATTGCTAGATTACTATTCTTTGATTCAATCGTTTGTCTTATTATTTTAACTCCTCGCTAATTGTTGTTTGAAAGTTAAGTAATCTTATCAGAAATACCTTTTCGTGATATCCTGTTTTCAATTACATTCCAACAGTTGCTTTTAATTGATACTTCAGAGAAATTAACTTGTAATCAAAACCAAGGTGAATGTTTTTTGTCATCTGGGGTAATTTTTTAAGGTACCTAAAGTGTATAACCTCAGTCTTGTCTTCAGCATATCTTACACCTTAGTAGTAAATCCTAGCTTCGTTTTCTAGTTAATCATAGTAGAAGGCGGTTTGGGAAGCTTGCTTTACAAAAAGGACCTGGATTTTGCTCATTCAGCAGTAAGCCGTTGACTTTGTTGACCTTCATCAGCAAGGTGAATATAGTCTCCACGGAGGTTATACTCCATTTGCGAATCAAACCCATTACTCAACTTCCAAATGAAAATCTTCACTAACAAGTATTTAAGAATAAGAGATTACTTTTGGAAGTTTTTTTCATCTCTGTATTGTGGTTTCTTAAAGTCTTTCCTTTTAAATATTTATGTTATTAAGGTGTCTAGTTCCAAAGTCACCAAAAAGATTGTTTCTGAATATCAGAAGACTCATAAACGTGCTGAACTTGAACGTCAACGTTTAGCGAAACAGCATCAGAAGGAGCTGGAAAGAAAACAAAAGATTTTGGAGAGGGTATTTCTTTGGATATTTCTTACATTTTGTTGATTAGGAGAGGCAACAGCGGGAAAAGCAGGAGAAGAAAGAGGCTGAAGACCGCGAGAAAGAGGAAAAACGTCTGAAACGGAAGGAAGAACAGCGCAAAAAAGAAGAGGAAAAGGAATGTGAACGTAGGAAAAAAGAGTATGTTTCGTTTTTATTCAGATAAATATTTTGGTGTTTTCAATCTCATTAACATTCATTTTATTAATAGGGAGGAAAAACGCAAAAAGGAAGAAGAAAGATTGCAAAAGGAACAAGAGAAGAAAAAGGAAGAAGAGTTGAAAATTCAAAGGGAAGAAAAGCAGAGAGCAGTCTTATTGGGATTTCTCGTGAAATCAGATAACAAGAAGGTCTGATTTTTTTTCTAACTTACTCATTATTTGTAGGAGACTACTGCAGGTGCTGGTACGGACTCTGGACCTTTCATACAATTTGAAGTACGAAAAGATATGAAAATGGCCCCTATTCATAGAGTGTCACATGAGTTATTATGTCAAAAGCGAAACAACATCGATAATCTTAGAAAAACTTGGGCAGAAGAATCTAACAGGGATCCAGCATCGAAACTTGGTTTAGTAATATTTGGAAAAGCTAACTATCTTAATGAACTCCGGACAGGACAGATACAACCATTATCCTATCCAAATACATGGCCAATGTAAGTTACACTTATGTATTCACACCATCTCACATTTTATAGGCAGAATACGCTAGTGCTACAGTATTCCCCAGGTTCCTTTTATCTAGGATTATCTACTAGACTGTAGGACATGGAGTGCATAGTGACACTGCATAGACGTCTAATTAGCACCAGCAATTTTTCTTATATTGTTATAGGTTGGGAATATTGCTATAACGAAAATGCCTAAAAGAACATGCCAACTGAATCTCTGCCTCATACCCATGATTAAGAACAATAAGAGAATCGTTTTAGAGGAGGGAGACTAGCACGATAAGTTTGTTACCCCCTACGAAGCTGAGTAGCAGTCAAATAGTCTGAAGACAATCAACATTTATACCATACAGTGAAATATTAGAATATTAGCTTTATACGATTAGTGAGTCTCTTCAATGAACATATCTAAGATTATTAAGCAATTGGTTTATAGGGCGTTTACCAACACCTTTATGACTCGATGTCGGTTTCATATCAGCTTTCACTTCTGGGTGTAAACAGAAGTGTGTTTATTTGACTCTTCTTATTCAATATAGAAAAAAAATCCCGATTTAGACATTTAGAAAACAGAAAGATTGAGCGAAGAAATATTTACTTTTCAATTACGTCCTCAGTCAGACATCGATGTCGACATGACCTGTTGGGACTCAGCTACCTGGCAAATACTTCTCATGTACCAGGCTATGGGCTACACGTACTATCTGAAGGCTGACCATACTCTTCAGTTGCCTGAGTATGAAGTAGGTGAACCATGTTTCGAGCCGAGACTCATTGGCTGGTACTCGAGAGCTTAAGTCGATGACTCACATCTCTGCTACAGTATCAACGTATCAAATGATCTGCTACCAAGAAATAAAACTTATTTCACACATGTGTACTAGATGTCCACTAAATGTGTATTCGCTCGAAGTTAGTTATATGATGCTTAAACACTAATCAATTATTGGAAGTCTGAAGGCAGTAGATGTGACAGACTTAGGTGCCAGTTGTTAATTCATAGGTATAGACAGAAAACCTTTATTGACTTTGTACATTGGTTCAAAATTTCATTAGGAACAACTATCACTAAGTATCTCAATTGATGACATATGTTCTATGCAAGCGTTGGTGTGAAATATCAGATTCAGATTCAGTACACGACTTTATAGAAGTAGTCGTCAATATCAATATCTGTCTTCCAGTTTTGTAGAAGGTATTAGTCTGATTAATGCATCACATAATTGACATAAGACCAGTTTAGTTTTTTACAGTTTGATTATCAGTGAATCATTGGTTCAAATACCATTACACAAATTACAATCACCAAGTTTATTTCTATGCAGGCATTTCAAGAAACCTTTTTTGTCATTTCTAATTGTTTTGGTAATACTGACTAAATTATATGAACTCAATATGATTTAATTGCAATCATTGAAATGTGAGTCATTTAACATCATTATTGCCGTAGGCCCACCATTTTCGATCATGGTAAAACGACTAGTATTTGTGCTTCACTTCGGCCATATATTGGATATCTGGTGTCCCTGAACTTCTACATGATTCAGAGACTTGGTGTGAGCGCTGCCATAGTAATTCCATCAACAGCTACCTTCAGTCGATACTGAAGAACAGATGGCCGACCAAAATGGACAAATAACAAATAACTCTAGAGGTTAGTGAGCCAGTCAAGAATCTACTGTCTAATAGTCAAGCAGAATGAAATGGGAATGGATTGTGCATACGCTGATGAAACTTAGTACCATCACATGCTAGACCCTCAAGTGGAACTTGGATAGGACTTGTGGGATTGAGTGCCGTAGGGTGACGTGGAGCAGGTCATAACAAAAAATGAGAGCTTGCGGTCAGTTGTGGAGTTAGTTGAATGTGTTAGCAGATAACTGAATGCAGTGGTGGTGTGCCGCTTAGGTCCTATGTTCCACTCTATGTTCAGCGAGTGAAAATAATAACAATGTTCATGTAAAGTTGCTGAATTAATCCTCAGGATTTTGTTCCTCATTTTAGCTGATAAGACAAGCCTTATTAATATCTTTAAATTCGTGGTAACTATGATTTCATCACTATGTTATTCGTTACCAAATGTAGCGTTACACAATAGGGTGCAGATAACCCCCTTGAGCAGTTGATTTTCAGTCTATTGAATTTATAACTCAGGCCTTACTCTACATGTGCAACCATTTGGTAGTGGAGGACTTCACTTAGCATATTTGACTTAGCATAGTTTACTAAGAAGAATGTGCCATATAGCTGGGTATCAAACAGTATTATAATACATTTGGCCAATGAAATGTTTATAGTCAGTGGATGGGAATCTATGGACTTAAGTTTCATGCTTATCTACGCTTTAGAGAAACTTATATTCCAATAGTCAGACCTGCACTACTCAATGAATTTGCTGTTTAAGAGGAAAGAGGTTTCTAATAGCCAAATACAGTCTACGTGATTCTCTGCTTGCAAAAATTGCATGGTAGTTAATCGTCCTTATCTAAATCCTGATAGTCGATTAGTTTATAAAGATGTCACACATCCATTTCCCTCCCATCTAATAAGACACATATATTGTGTTACTGTGAGAGCTTTGATGATGCACGTACTTCAGTATATATCCTATCACGAGTTTTTCTTTTTACTCGGAGATAGTTTATGTCAAAAACCGGGGAGTACGGTTGCTGTCTTTAGAATTTTAAGAAAACGTAGTGGATCATCCCTTCATGACGGCGCAGATGTATTCACCCCGTATCACCATCGTGTTTCTAAATACACTTGGTCGTCACAAATAAGTTTTGTCATTTGTAGGATCATCCTGTCTCTGTTCTTTTCTGCCTTCAAAGTGTGACTGTTTGAACTGATGCACTACTGCGCCAGGTTATATTATACGTTGGTTTGTCAGAAAGTTAGTGTGTTGGGTTTCTCTTATAATTGGTTCTTAAATACCTGTGAAATTATTAACTTCAGTTTTCTTCCTACGACTAAATGTGTATTGTTGTTTTCATGACATTCATATGTTAATTACAGTGGTTCCGTTCATTTGCATGGTTTATGCTCTGTTCGACATTTTAGAGAACCGCCTGATGTTCATCTTCTTGGGGAAAATTCGTATGGTCCTGTAGATCCTTTAGCTTTGAAACAGCATGGTAATCGTGGTGGTGGTGGGACTGTATGGCTTCGTGCCAAACTATTTCAGTTCGTGGAAAATTACCGACCAGCCTACTATGGAACTTGGAGACGTCGTAGCCGTATTGTTACAGGTCGTAGACCTTTCGCTCGCGACGATTATCAACTTGATTATTCAATAGATTCAGATGATGAATGGGAAGAGGAAGAGCCTGGTGAGAGTATCACCCAGTCTGATGTAAGTTAATTATCTATTCATTTTAATATTTTTGTTTTGCAAGTGACCTGTTTCAGAAATTTCTACGGTTTAATAGGATAATAAAGACGAGTCCTAATAAGACTATTGAGTGAATTATTTTCTAAGGTGAAAGGAACTTTCATAATTCAGAAGGACAGAAGAATGACACGTTTATGAGCACACTAAGGAGCAGTTCGACTAACCTACAGCTGAACTGCGGTTGTCTACTGTCCAATTCCAGCAGCTGCATCAACGCTATCTGCAGTTATGATGATTCTTCATTTTGATACGAAACAAGACAACCTTGGTAATTAAGTGTCTACGCCTCTGGGGTCCATACTCCTTCGCCGACCAGGTGCAATTCATCATCAACAACCTCGAGTAATGTCAACTGATATGCAGCTAGGTTGGAAAAGAATTCAGTAATCAGAAAAAATATATCAGCGATCCTTGAAGCTTTTGACTGTTGGTTTCCCCCACGTAGAAAGGTATGAAGTGCCTTGTTCAGATTCTCGAGGCGCTCAGAATCAGTTATTGGGGACTTTTGGTGATAAGTTTAAAAATTATTTGCAGTAGCGCACATGCATTCACTCCCTATCATCTTTCAGGTCTAAAAAATCTTCAATGATCTTCATAAATCCTTACTCCAGAAAGTTTTAATCTATTGTACTTTTATTATGCTTCTGTTCCTTACTTTTGTGTGCTTATCTGAAGTGTGGTTAATTGAACTACTTCACCTTTGTGCAGAATTCTGCGTTGATAACAGTTGAATTCAGGCCTATTTAGGGGTGGACTAGTGATATTTCCTGTTAGTTCTGTAACAAACGTACCACTGTCCAACATGTCCCTAATTACCATGTAACAGCAGAAATTGGAGGAGTGGTGTGACAGTATCGAACTGTGGAGAGGATGTTGAAGCGCTATACTTATCAATATTGTCTATTTGAAGTCACTGACTGAAGGTTTCGTGTGATCTTGGAAGTGTGTGGGCATTGTTACTTCCCGGCTGCCCACACCGTGGAAGTTGATTGATACTTTGGGTACCTGGAACAGAAAGAAAGTTAGTGTTGCGTGATCGCAGAGCCCAGGGGACAACTGCTTGAGGCCGGTCACACACGGCCTGTATGAACTGGTTTCTTGGATTGGTTCCGTACTAGTAACTTACCGCTGGTTACAGACCACTGTAGGGTAAATCGGGATGTACAATTTTTGGAGTTGACCTTTTCGAACCCCCTCTCTCCAGATTGGAGAGACAGCATAGCTGGCATGCTGGTCATTTAAAGGAAACACCTTACTGCTATTACATCCCTGTTCCCCCAGCAGTACGACTTCGCCCACAGACCCCCAGCATAGTGTAAAAACAAAATTTTTACACAATGCCGGTAACTGCCTTTAGTTTAATCGCTATCCTAGCAACCTTCCTGGCATGGTAGGACCTGCAGGAACAATAGTTCCAGCCACTGTAGCTTGGCGAATCATTGCGATATGCAAGCCCGACGTCAAGGTAGCAGCTAGCAGTCGGGATTTGAAATCACATTCATGCGGAAGCCTATAGAGATTTACCACTTGAATTTATGACTTACATTCTATTTGTATTATAGATGCACTAATAATGGCAACCGAGTTTGATTGGAGTCTCTCACGAATCAGTAAAAGAGTTAGTCCATTTAAAGTGCCCAGATGTTATATTGATTTTAGGTAAAGATCCTAGCAAAGTGAAGATTTTTCTTGGGACGCTAAGCAAAATGTATGGTCTACTGTCCGTTCCAGTCAAATGTTAAGTGATGCATAGGGACTAAGCTGCTCAGGCTGGAGAAGATAAATCAATCAATGAGGTTAATTTCATCGGCTGGGGTTATTATTATTATTTCCTTTAGTTCCTAGAGGAACATAGGGCTTCAGCCATGCGTCTCCATTGCGTTCGGTTCTCTGCTAGAGTTTTCACCTGGCTCCAGGTCTGCCCACATGCTTTCATCTCCTCTTCACATGATCTCCTCCAGGTCACCCTTGGACGACCAACTCGTCGCTTCCCTTTCGGGTTCCACTCGAGCAATGGCTTGTCTAGTGATGTCACTTGCTGGTTTCCTTAGAGTGTGGCCAATCCATCTCCATTTCTTCCTGCCTATTTGTTTCACAATCGGTTCCTGGTTGGTTCGCTCCCAGAGATCTTTGTTGCTGATCCTTTCCGGCCATTTGATCTTGAGTATTGAGCGAAGACATCTGTTAATGAAGGTCTGTAGCTTGTTTGAGGTGCTCTTTGTGACACGCCAAGTCTCTGATCCGTATAGTAGTACTGACTTCACATTGGAGTTGAAAATCCCGATCTTATTTTTGACGCTGAATACTGTTGACCTCCACACAGACTTGAGAGTAATGAAAGCTTGCCTTGCTTTCCCGATCCTTGCTTTGATATCCTCGTCAGTTCCGCCTGTAGTTGAAACAATGCTTCCCAAGTAGGTAAAGGAGGTAGTTTCTTTCAGGTTTCTTCCATTTATGCTGATGGTTGTCTGTTGTTGTTGTTGCTGTTGGTGTTGGCCAGGGATCTTCATCACCTCCGTTTTCTCTATGTTCACCTGGAGTCCTATCTTTGATGCTTCTTCTGCTAACTTATTACTTTTCACTTGCATATCTTCCAGTTTGTGGGAAATCAGACATATATCATCGGCGAAGTCCAGATCCTCCAAGTGTTTTGTGTGAGTCCATTTTATGCCTGTTTCCTCATTGCCCGCTGTTTGTCGCATTATCCAATCTACTGCAATCAGGAAAATCATTGGCGATAGTAGGCAACCCTGTCTTACTCTTGTCTTCACTTCGAAGGATTCCGTGAGCTTCCCGTTGTGGATTACTTGGCATGCAGCGTTGTCATACAACTGTTACTGGACGATTTTAACCATGTTTAACTACCTTCTTCGACAAGAAATGTCTCATGAATTAGGTTCAGGTCAGAATGGAGTTAGGATTATGCAGTCGGAAGCACGGGATTAGTTCATAATTGATTCAATCTAATTCCAGAGATGTAGGTTTAGCTTTGTATACTCAGTATTCTAAAGACTAACATCTATCTCTGAGATGCTAAACTTTCTAGATGAATAACTGAGAAAGATATATCGAGAATACATGGGAATTCAATGGATCTGGGAGTTCACAAAAAGTAGATCCATCTTCACCATTGAGAACGACTTTGAGCCGTTTCACAAACAGTCTGCAGGACCTTCTTACGTGGCCGAAACTGATAGTCAAAAGCTTTATGGATTAATGCCAGGCTTTTGTTCGGCCACCCAGAATTCTTTTGCAACTTATTCCTATATCAGGTGATATTTCTCATGTTGGAAGGTGGTAGTTCGTCTTGCACAACGCATGACCTAACCATCTCAATGGATACAGACTCACAACCTCATCTATTGAATTTCCTGTCTTACCTAGCACTACGCATAGCCTCATTATACTCACCATATCACCACGAGAGATAGAACGCAAACATCTGTGGGCAAAGACACCTAGCCTCTTCATTTCTCCCACTGTCAATAACCATGTCTGACAGAAGGAGAAGGCGAGCTATTGCGTAGTGCACTCATCTTTTGACCGATAGCCGGATACCATGTTTACGCCAAAGATGATGTAAGTTGGCAAACGCCGCACGGCTGTTTTATCATCCTTTCTTAGATTTCGTCAGCAATCAATCCACCAAAGCTGATGCGACTTTCCAAATAAGTGAAGTCGTCATCATTACTCCCTGCCACTTCACTCCCTATCCAATCCTACATTATCATCTTACTGACTTGATAATAATTAAAAATGAGACGTTTAGGTATACTGTTTGCAATCCAGGATAAGTGATTATTTGTGAGGTCGTAAAGTCTAGTTAAAATCTTTATTGGAATTTCGTCTAAGATTTTCTTTAAACTGAGATACTTCCGAAACACAAATTGGAGTAAGCATGTTCATTAACGACGTGTCTCGATGTTTACTGTTAGCTGATGTGGAACTAGATTCAAACAAAGCTTTTGGTGACTGAGACGACCCATAAAATCATTCGGGTTTTACAGTATAGGGAATGCCGGGTTGTTTGGCTGAAGTCATAATAGATGTTCGGATGTCAGGTGATAACTCAGAGTCGTTTTTGGTACTGCAGATGCGTTCGTATATTTCCTGGATCTTAGTTGTGTTATTCAGTTTCGTTGTTGGCTTTACCATTCCTTCTGAAGATTTTTGTAGCTCTTGGTAACATGTTTTTAATTTGTTTTTTTCTGTCATATAATCTATTTCTAGTAATACGGTAGCTTAAATGGCTTTGTACTGTCGATATTTCCCTCTACCTAGTAGGTGACTCAGTGTTCTCAAAAGTAGTGGTTTTAGAGATATGCACTCCAGTACTTAGCTACTTAGCATTCTTCAATATCTGAATTCGTGTATTTCTTTTCTTAGAATGAAGAAGAGGAGGAAGAGGAAGAAAAGGAAGATGATGAAGATGACGACGATGACAAATTCTTTGTTCCTCATGGTTACTTGTCTGATGACGAAGGTGTTGCAGCTGAAGAAGGCGAAGGTCCGATTCCTGATGAGATGAAACAGTTACGCCAACGGTTGTCTGTTGCTGAATACGAGGCTGCCCATCGTCGTGGACTGCAGCGTTTGAAACCAGTGTTAATCGGACCTTTATGGTTATCGGAACCGGTGGAAGGTATACTAAATAATAATACAAACCAAACAAATGATCAGAATCTTGAAGAGAACAAAGAAAATATTGAATTATCTGAAAGGTGTATTGTCAGTAAGCAGATCAACGAAAAGACTGAATTCACACTAATGAGATCTGTCCTTAGTGTATACCGGGTAAGTATTCTTTAAATGTTGTTGTTATCCCTTTTATGCAAGTGTTTGCACACTGTGTCATCTCAATAAAACAGTTTGAAGTGATGGTTTTTCCTTATCTTGAACTTTTGAGTTACTTTAGAGACTGCTGTTTTGCCTCACTTTAAAAATTTATAGACTCGTTTTATTTAATTCAGCATTTCTAACACTTAAATGTGCCTGGTAATGACGGTAAATTCAACACTATTGTTAACATTGGGAGTCAGTAGTATTATTTAAAATATAAAATGCACTGTATTTTGTGTCCCCTGGAGCTACACATTCTAAAGTGGTTCATGTATATGAATATGTTGCTTTCATTTAGTTATTGTCGTCAACTGATAAATTTGTCTTTATTGTGTTTCGTAACCAACTCTTTAGGAGTCGAGATGCACTGAGGAAAACACATAGGCGGAGATTTAGTTGAAGTTTTGTGTTTTCAAAGAGCGGTTAGAACTCTCGCCGACCATCACATGGTCCGGAGTTCGATCCCGTGCCTACGCACACCTGATATCTATGGTCGGCCTACAGAATTTGGGCTACTGATATCACATGCTGAAAATTCCATACTTGTACCAAAAATACGTTGTGGAATCAAGCTGTAATAAAAAAATCAAAGTCCTCAACACTAAATACAGTTTCCTCACCATATAACAACTTTCATTTCTCACACAGCCCCAGTGTAGTACACAGAACAGGTTACATATCCAATATTATAGAAATGCGGGTGCATGGTTGTCGTTTTGCAGAATGGAGTCGTCAGTGTAATCGAATTGAAAGCAAAGAAAGCCACAATGGAGGATTGAAAAGCACGTGTGACATGTGGCACTGATAACCTTGTGTTCAACCAATAGAATAAAGAACGATGACTTCCTCCAGTTGTGACTTACCTTATGGATATGTAGTGTTTTTCAAAACAGTGTGTTCACTCAGTATATTTCAAGTGATCTTTTAGTAAATTCTGTTTTCAATTTTTATGTATTAAAGATACATGCATGGACAACTAATTTACCGATTTCGGTTGAAGTAGATGTTGTTGCCACGACACCTTCAAGACGATTGAAAAAATCATTACCAGAGGAAGGTTAGTTTTTGTTTTACTAAGGTCCGTATGCTTGTAGTATACTTGGTGTGTTTTCTTGTTCTTATTGATCATAGTTTTAATTATCTGCTATGAAGTCATTAAACAATAAAATCATATGTAGCACTTTAAAATAAAAGTACTTGATATTTTCGGAATTCAGAAAAGACTGTCAGAAATTCCACTTTCTCAGATTGTCTAGTATTCTCCAACTGCATCTCAACTACCACCAAGGCTACTATGTGGAAGTCAGATAGTTCTTATTTCTATATGCAAATAGCAACCTATATACTTATATATAAAATTGGAAAAAGTGTATACACAGAGAAATTTTTAACAAACTTGCAAAGGTAATATAATCTCAGTTAAGACGAAACCAGCCAAAACATATCCTACGATCAAGTTGGTTCCCGTTTATCAAGCAACACCCTGTTTGGTGCAATTAAAGGACGATAGATATCCTTCTTACGTTAACTCTGTGTATACCAATTTACATGTATCTGCGGAAGCAATTACATTTAGAGATAAGAGAGAAGGGCACCTTAGATTATCTGAAAATGTACCTAGACGCATATGACCGAGGGGTTTTTATTATTTTACTGAGACAAAACCTGGTGCTAAGGCTGGGATACTACTTGGGCGCCCGGACTGAAGTAGGTGGTTGTTTTGAGGCACCACCGTTATAGCCTTTGACTTGGCACCTTATCCACAAGGCAGTGAAGCAGCGTCAAAGGCTACATTCCCATAGTTACCCGTGATCACTTTAAAGGACTCTTGAATCGACCATCTTCTAAAACCCACCCAGAAATATCATCAACAGCACGCACTGAACTGCTGCCAGTGGACAACAATTCTCCAACGAATGCAGAAATTCTGAATGCGATCAAGCTACTGAAGGCCAGCTAGGAAGGCAGCAGGGCCAGGTGAAATTCCCCCCCGAAGCACTGAAGACGAATCCAGGGACTAAAACTTTTCTGTACACAAACCTCATGATTTATTTGGGCTATAAGCAAATGATGAGACGCCAACGAAATAAATGATGGTACCATATTATTCTGCACAAACCACTGTTGTTCCTGCTCTATTCATATTCACCAAGGGAAATAAATGTATGAAGTACGTATCCCGCCTGATTGTTAGGCCGGTAGCACTCTTGTGTCAAAGACGACATGAAATGGCGAACCTCTAAAAAGTGAGGCAAACCATCGAACTTCCGTAACTGAACAGTTTGGTTGGCATAACAGAGCGAAACAGTATTGCTCACTAACGTTTCTTATACCGAGATAGAACAAGAAGAAAAGCTAATCGACTATAAACACATACCAATTAGCTACTCAAATAGCACTTAATCAGTTGCATAGCAATAGAAATAGTGGATACGCATCATGAGACAGCTCAATAAAGGTTTCACTAAGATCACAAATGTGTGAATATAAGACCTACAGCGAGATGTGCTTCCCAAGCAACTCTTTCGGTGAAAAGTACTACCACTAAACGTATCTATCGACAAGGTTAGAAGTCGCCTTCATATCAGGAAATACATCTAGTGTTGGTAGCCCGTAAATGCGTCTATTTTCAAAAGTGTAATAGGAGGAGGTAAATATCCGCTTAGCATAACTTCTACCTGAAACTTCGTCGACTTTGAAAAGACCTTCACCAGACAGCGTTGACCAAGAAGTTAATTGGAAACCACGTCAACACTACGGAGGATAATATCTCAAATCTTTACCAACCTCATCTAGCAGCTACATGACAATGCCACGTGTCAAGCGATCCACAACGGAAAACTCACGGAAGCATTTGAAGTGAATACAGGAGTAAAACAAGCTGGCTGCCTGCCTGCCTATTATGATCCACGATGATATTCATAACTGTGGTGGACTGGATTACACCTTAGACTGTGAGTGGGAGCGAGGAGACAGGAATACGCTGGACCACCAATAAGAAGACTGTAGAGGATCTGGATTTCACGCGTGGATGATTTATGTTTAATGTTACACAAACTCGAAGACTTGTAGGCAAAAACCAACAACTTGACAGCAGAGGCAGGCAGCGAAGACACGACTGTTGGTGAACATAGAGAAGACGGATGTGATGAAGATAGCCAACCAACAACAGCAACAACAAACAATACCAATCACTATGAATGGGAGAAATTTGAAAGATGTCGCTTCCTTCCTATTAAAAGAAAAGCAAACTATTATTATTATTATTCCTTCACTTATCTAGGAAGAATTGTTTCAACCACAGCCAGGGGAACAAATGAAGATGTGAAAGCCAGCCAGTCAGAATCCGAAAGGCAAGATACACATCCATCAATCTGAAATCGGTTCGGAAATCTTCTGCACTCCGCCTCAGTATAAAGCACAAGATTCGGATTTTCAGCACAAATGTCAAGTCAGTCAGTCAGTCCTTCTATATGAGTGAGAAACTCGGTGGGGCGCGAGTCACGAAAAGCATTTCCAACAGGCTACGGGAGACTTTTATCAACAGCTGCCTTCGCTCGCTACATGTTGAAGATCAAATTGCTAGCCAGAAAGAATCATCAACAAGAAACTATGACAAGGAGATGGATTGGGCATGCGCTGAGGAGACTGTCGAATGACATCGTGTGCCAGGCCACTGCTCGAGTGAAACCCGAATTGGGAGCGAAGAGGGGGTTGTCAGTGCGAGGTTGACATGGAGGAGATCGTGCGATAGGACAGTAATATATATATATATATATATATATATATATATATGTATATGTATATATTAATCATTCAGGTTCTCAAGCCATTTTATCTGTTTGGCTTCAGTATCCCATGTTCCCCTTTGTGTGAAGGGGAAAGACGGTTTTAGCTTTGCTTTTGCCAGTCATATCGTTGATACATGCCACGAAGTTGACATATTCGAAGTCTTTACATTAATCAATATAAAACATCATCCATTTCTTATCAAGTGTTTAAAATCCGTTTTTATGTTTTCAGAAAGAAGCCCTCATCAATCTTATGTTGCACTTATGATTCAATTTCTTAACTGTTTTTATTTGATCACATAATTTGTTGCTTTGCCATTTTCTCCTTTTGGCATATAAGAATTTGTTTTTAGTTTTTTCTATTATTTGAGTTTGACTCAATATATTTTGTACAACTCATCATTTACTTGCAACTAACTTATCCATCTCTTGTCATTGTTATGCAACTCCTCTTTCAATACATCTAAACTTAGGAGAAAATTAAGGTTAACCTTATATCTTTAAGTTATACAAGTGGAGCTTCTGAGCACTTTCTAGTATCTTTAGGGTCTAATGTTACCTGAGGTCGTGTTACCTTTACAAGTGCATTAGAAATTTCTGTTTTCACACTTTTAGGTGGTATGCGACTGACGAAGTAGCAAGATACCACCTCGTTCTGCTGAATCTGTTGTTCATGTTTTATTTAAATTGTCAGTTGCTTCAGTGATTTCATTGATTTTCTCTGGGGCAGGTGTGCACAAATCAGTTGCCGTATGGTAATCACTAGTTCTCTTAGTATAATGTTGTTTTAGGACCTTATCTTACTGATTGATTCGAAAATGTTGTGAAGTGTGGTGCACTTAAAATGGAAAGTCATCACACAGAAGGCACCAAACCTAGGTTTCTTGAACATCGTCACCCCGTAACAGGACACGAAGCCGGTGTTCTTCATGACACTTGAAACTACATCACTCAGTGATAAAATCATCAACTTGACTGCTGACTTGTTTTATCTGTCCATTAGTTTCATAAGTGTGTAGATTGAAATATATCAACCACCTGTGCATTAGTCACCTGAGTGGTGTTGATTGGAATCACGGATGAAACATGAGGTTTCCGTTTTTAGCCCTCTTACTGTGTGAAACATTCGTTTTATTAGAACCAGGAACACTAATGAAATGCAGCATCCGAAATTTGAATCTTATCACTTTTCAGGCTTGTCTTCATATATAAGATATAGTTGAAGCTAACCACTGTCAATCGTCATTTCTAGTGGTGGCACTTTACAGTTGAACAGGAAATATAGACATAATGCCTGCATACCTAAACTATTGTAAACGTCATCAGCATTATGATTTTCGATAGTCCATCGTGTATTCTACACAATTCTTTAATTTTACAAACCTTTTGTTCATTTCGCAGACTGGTTCTTAATATACAAACGAAATAACTCCATTGGATAAAGATGCTTATTTTTCCTCCTTTTTATAGCTATGCCGTATTTCATTCATCTTGTTCATCGGAGTCCTTTGGGGAAGCATAAGTTAGCTTTTGAATTCCGTGTCTTCTGGTATCGTCAAACAACGGGTAGTTTACCTGAATGTCTTCAGTATATGGAATACAAAAAGCATAATTCTACTGTGATGGGATCATCTGTTTCACGAGGTCCTGTTTATTCTGGCCCCTCTTGGGATAATTTACCGTTAACTCAGTCGGTTGTACTATCCAAATTAGCAGAAATCGCTGTCTTCTCAGAGGGAAGGTAATTGATAGAATTTCACAGTTTTAATTCTCACCCTCTACAACAAGCTATTTTGATTTTTGTAATTATTACAAATATCTCTTTGTCCGTTTCAACCAAAGATTTTCTAAGAATATAAAACAAAACTATCCAACATGTTACCTCATTAAGCCCCAGTCGAATAATTTGTGAAACTCTAACTAATTATTCAGTGTGAGTGATTTGTTTTTGTCATTGATTCCAGATGGTGGGAAACTTTCGGCTGTTAAATCACTCAAAATGACGGCGGTCACTTAGCTAACATTGATGTAAAGTAATAACTAATGTCAACTCATGATGAAATCCTCCATCCAATCAAACAAAATCCCTACAAAACCAATACTTGAAAATTTGAGTACCGTCAACATTCTGAACTGTAACGAATCTTTAACTTAGAATTTAGCACAAAATTACAGGAGTTCACGTTGTCACTTTTCATAGTAAAGAATAAAGGTAGAGAAGAAAAAGAAATGCAAGGAAACCGTAATAAGCAGAAATTCAAGGCAAAATGAACACTTATGTGAAGGGGAATGAGAATATAACAAATCCAGGAGATTTCAAAGAATGAATACTTCTTCGCCCGTAAAGACTATCTTAGGCTATATCGCCAACTGGCATGAGCAACTGATTGTTAGCGTTTCCATGACCAGTCTTCGTATCTTCCACTTTCAAGTGCCATGTCTTTTCTCCTTAAAGAAGAACAAAGCGAGCTGTTGGTCAGTATACATGTCTTTTGATTGATAACCAGATGTCATGCCTACATCACAGATAATGCATGTTAACAAATATCATACGAGCCTTTTTCTATCTGTATTGAGAACTCTTCAGCAATCAGTCCCTTGGGACTGATGTAACTTAACAAATTATTGAAGTGTTCATTACGCTAAACTATTTCAGTCAGTGCAGATCAGTCCTGCATCATCATCTTATGCTTCACTGAGATGAATCCCATGCCGGACATAGTGAAGTTTAAGCTCTAAGTGTTCAGAAGACTTCGCATTTTATTAATGACTTCACAAGAAAGGAATAATGTATCTGCATAATGTGGATGAAGAAAACTACCACGCCTAGTTTACTAACCAGTCATTTGCATGTAAAAGGGGAGATTGGGTGCCGAAAAAGTGCTAGAAAGAGGAAAAGTTACTTTCATGACATACTCGAAACTAAATCAGGACAGGTTTAAGAAGCCTCAGAACACCATATCAAATAAATTTATTATCCGGGAACAGCTCATTATAGATTAAACCAGGGAAAGCTGATGAATGAAACTTGATTATCATAGAAGTGATAGGAAGGAAACAGTGGGCTGGTCACTTCAAAGGACTGTTGAATTGACCTCCATCTACAAATTACCCAGAACTACTAGTATATACCAACCATCCTCTGAAAGCAAAAGTCTTGAAGCCTATAAAGCTACTGATAACTATCCTGGAGAGCAGGACGACTAGATGGAGTCCCCCTACAAGTTCTGAAAACAGATACAGCGGTCTCAACAGTCATGTTTATGCCACTACTGCTAAAGATGTGGAAGAAAGGTAGGGTACCTAATGATTGCAAGAAAGGTTACTTCGTTAAAATGTTAAAGTGATGTGAATTAAATCTGTGCGAGAACTGGTGCTTCGTCATGCCCCTGTCAGCCCCAAGCAGTTTGTTAAGCTGCATTGATACTGGAAAGATATGACGCCTTGAATGGAAGTCTTCTTCCTTGACAGGCTAAATTAGTAAAAACAAATCCCGCGAGGACCAAATGGCAACATTACGCATTACAAGTGAACCTAAGAAAGACAGGTGCGTCAAAGATAGCTAACCAAAAAAAAACAAGCATCAGTCACCACCATTAATAGAAATCAGCATCGTTTCAACAACAGATAAGAGTCACGGACGATGATTTCAGAACCAGCCAAGAGTGAATGGAGAATGCGAGGTAGACATTCATTACTCTGGAGTCATTATGGAAATCTTTTGCACTGAGCTCAAGGAATTAGGTTCGACGTTTCAACACTAATATCAGGTCAGTCAGTGCTTCTGTGCGTGCGTTACCAAAACATTTTCAACAAGCTACTACAGACCTTTATCAATAGATGGCTTCGTTGAAATGAATGCTAAAAGTCAGATGGTTGACTTGAATGTATAAGTAACAAGGAACTTTGTTATTGCAGCGAAAGAGTGGAAAACTTGTCGCCCAACAAATATACGAAATGAATTAGAAATGGGTTGGACATATACTGAGTACTCCTTTGAGTGACACACCACTCAAGCTATATATGATCGGGAAGCGTCGGGTTTGTCTCGACCTCAAGGGTAACATGGAGGAAATCATGTGAAGCGTAAATATGGGATCTTGTTGAGAACTGAAAGTGACAGCAGATCTGATGTCCTCTTGAGGTCCTATTCTTCACTCGTGGCTCAAGGAATGAATAATAACTGATTAAACCGCTTATTCTACCAAATTGGTCAGCCTAGCTTCCATTAGTATAACTTGGCACAGGTAACTCTTATACATGTATATTTCGACTTACTACGTTGGAAACATGTGTTGATTTGTCGGTCGTTGGTCTAAACATACAGTCAGTGGGACATCGGTTCCAGACCTACTCCATGTACCGAGGTTTGTTCAGCCCTTATACATTAGATGTCACTGATTGTCAACTGCATGAAAAATATGTAACACCACTTGTGAATAATATTCAAAAGTCTATAAAGTGAATATGTTTAAGAGATACATGATCGTAAGCTGCGAAACAGTGCGTGCAATAGGAAATTAATTTAAGGTGTATGAAATATGTTTAATTGAAATGAGCTGTCCATTGGTTCACATTTTTTCCGTTTTTCTCATCCTATGATTTATTCGGTCATTTACTTAAAGCGCAACAAAGCTCTTTGCTTCTACTTAACCAATGTGCTAGTTGAGTAGGCTGTTGTATGCAACGCGTATGGTTAAACTGGGAATATTCAAGGATTTGGTTGAATAAGGAAACTGGAGTTCTTTGTTTAATAAACTAGTCAGTCGAAACGTTACATTTTCGGCTTTTATCAAATGTCTAGCAGCTACAACTGGACTTCTGCAGTTTAATGGATATGCTTATACTGCTTAAATTTTCCAACGACTAGGAATAAGCAACTTTTAACACTTTCAACAGGCGTTCATCTTTTCAAGTTATCGCACTTCGAAAAATGTACTTATAAAAGGAAACTTCGATTTGCAAATAAACTTCCGTAGTTTCTATGGAAGTGTTTCACCTAAAAGTTTATCGCATTATGGCAACATATTCCCGCATGTCCTTACAGTTTTATTGTTGTATCTCAGTTTGTCTTCTAGACGATGGTTTTTAATGTTGGTCTGAGAATCTGTCTCTGGTGGAAATTAGTTACCTAAGAATTTGACATTTAGACTAACTAGTTTATATACTCCAAGGCATTGAATTCGTGTTCATTCAGTTTAGTTGTATTAGCTCTCGAAAAAGTTTAATCGAGCGATTTGTCGTGATAGCACATTAACTATAGAGATTGTTGTCATACCCGTGGTACTTTACGTCTATAACATTTACTACTGTCGTCATTAAAAACCGATTGCCTACGTGTTTTACGTATCTTTTTTCAAATATTGAGAATAGTAGTAGTGCTTTTAAAGACATGATCGATCATCTATTATCCTCAAGCAGAGTTGGAAAATCCTATTTGAAAATACAGTAAAGTGTGGATTATGAGGGAACATTTGTTTCAAGTTTGTGTCAGGCACTGTTGTGAACTTTCCATCTCGGTATAGATGGAGAGTTGACAGTTCTACCTACACTGTCTCACAAAAGAAACTTAATTCTCCTTCAACTTGTTGCTTGTAAATATTCTATTCATGCAGGATAGAATTGTACAGACCATATAAAAAAGACGAATTTAAAGTATTTGCTTGGAAAACCGACTATCTGAACTGTTTTTAAGCTCGTATTCATAAGTATGTAACTTATCTGCCTTGTGAAATCAGCTTGTCGAATGTATCTTTTGAGCGTGTTTCTGTTAAACTGGAACCTTGTCTACGTCTTTTCATGACATATTGTAATAAGTTGGTTTATAGTTGCTGTGGTGTAACGTATTTTCCTGAATTCTTATTAAACATGTGATTGCATTCATATATTTCTCTATTTTCTTTAGGTGGATGGTAAACGCTGAGGTGATTCAGAAATATGCCTCACGTTTATGCAATTTGTGCAATATTCAGGAGTTACGCAATACGGAAAAGGTTGATAAAGATTACCTTAGTAGTTTCGTGTTCCCTTCATGGCAGTACCTAACTGATGTAGCAGCAACCAGTATAAGGGGGAACCGGGTACCTGTCAGTCGCCGGTCTATGGAAATACCTCCCGTCACAGATTGTCTGCCAGAATCAGATCGAAGTGCTGACGATTGTATAACTGTATTGAAGCCATTGGATTCATCAAATATAATAGTCCCTGCCGAACAGTCAGAAAAAGAATCAGTTCAGATATCTGACCAGTTTATTTCATCAAACAGATGCCATGGAGACGAAAAGGACGTTAACCTACCTACAGATATCAGTCAAGAAAATGCTCCTCCTAAAGCTTTGGCTTCAGCTCAAACAACAGTTCGAAAGAGAGTCACTTTAGATGCATTCCTTAAACCTCCCGCAAAGCGATCGAACAATGTTTCTTCTGAAATGGTTTCCACAGTTGAAGATAGTGCTATAACTGATCTTAAATGAGAATTCCTTTATACTTTTCATTTGTAATATTTAGGTGACTGTGAATTAAAACAGCTGATTAGGATAGTTGCTATTATAAAAGGGAATAGAAATGTCTCTATTGAATTTTCCCCGACGACCGGCTTATTGCCGCCATTTCTTACTTCGATAACTTTTTCAAAAAAAAACTTTCCAATTTGTGTGTGAGTACAATTATGTAGAAGAGATTTCACATCACTATATTTATACCTTAAATTTCTCTTATTTCTGTATTTTCTATACTGTGTAAACTTTAAAGTAGAAATACTTTTCTGTCCTTATGTATTATGTATACTTTTCACTTCTGCAAATTGATTGTCTTCTCTTTGCAGTGTTTGTGTCCTACAGATACTTCTGTACTGTCAAACTACTAATTGAAGTCTTTTTCACATGACGTTTTACTATTCTTCTCAATTAGTCATTGGAAAGCTCGAAACAGTCAGGCTGATCGTATCATTATCATATGATTGTTCTATTAGGTTCCAAGTTGAACACTGGACTTCAACAACACATCTCCACATTGTTATACTTTCTGCTGTCCCCTTCAGCTGGACCCACAATCGCCCATAATCTCTAATCTCCTCCTCGCACGATCTCCTCCATGACAACCTCGCACTGACAACCCCCTCTTCGCTCCCAATTCGGGTTTCACTCGAGCAGTGGCCTGGCACACGATGTCATTCGACAGTCTCCTCAGCGCATGCCCAATCCATCTCCTTGTCATAGTTTCTTGTTGATGATTCTTTCTGGCTAGCAATTTGATCTTCAACATGTAGCGAGCGAAGGCAGCTGTTGATAAAAGTCTCCCGTAGCCTGTTGGAAATGCTTTTCGTGACTCGCGCCCCGCCGAGTTTCTCACTCATATAGAAGGACTGACTGACTGACTTGACATTTGTGCTGAAAATCCGAATCTTGTGCTTTATACTGAGGCGGAGTGCAGAAGATTTCCGAACCGATTTCAGATTGATGGATGTGTATCTTGCCTTTCGGATTCTGACTGGCTGGCTTTCACATCTTCATTTGTTCCCCTGGCTGTGGTTGAAACAATTCTTCCTAGATAAGTGAAGGAAGGAAGCGACATCTTTCAAATTTCTCCCGTTCATAGTGATTGGTATTGTTTGTTGTTGCTGTTGTTGGTTGGCTATCTTCATCACATCCGTCTTCTCTATGTTCACCAACAGTCGTGTCTTCGCTGCCTGCCTCTGCTGTCAAGTTGTTGGTTTTCGCCTACAAGTCTTCGAGTTTGTGTAACATTAAACATAAATCATCCACGCGTGAAATCCAGATCCTCTACAGTCTTCTTATTGGTGGTCCAGCGTATTCCTGTCTCCTCGCTCCCACTCACAGTCTAAGGTATAATCCAGTCCACCACAGTTAAGAATATCATCGTGGATCATAATAGGCAGGCAGGCAGCCAGCTTGATTTACTCCTGTATTCACTTCAAATGCTTCCGTGAGTTTTCCGTTGTGGATCGCTTGACATGTTGCATTGTCATGTAGCTGCTAGATGAGGTTGGTAAAGATTTGAGATATTATCCTCCGTAGTGTTGACGTGGTTTCCAATTAACTTCTTGGTCAACGCTGTCTGGTGAAGGTCTTTTCAAAGTCGACGAAGTTTCAGGTAGAAGTTATGCTAAGCGGATATTTACCTCCTCCTATTACACTTTTGAAAATAGACGCATTTACGGGCTACCAACACTAGATGTATTTCCTGATATGAAGGCGACTTCTAACCTTGTCGATAGATACGTTTAGTGGTAGTACTTTTCACCGAAAGAGTTGCTTGGGAAGCACATCTCGCTGTAGGTCTTATATTCACACATTTGTGATCTTAGTGAAACCTTCATTGAGCTGTCTCATGATGCGTATCCACTATTTCTATTGCTATGCAACTGATTAAGTGCTATTTGAGTAGCTAATTGGTATGTGTTTATAGTCGATTAGCTTTTCTTCTTGTTCTATCTCGGTATAAGAAACGTTAGTGAGCAATACTGTTTCGCTCTGTTATGCCAACCAAACTGTTCAGTTACGGAAGTTCGATGGTTTGCCTCACTTTTTAGAGGTTCGCCATTTCATGTCGTCTTTGACACAAGAGTGCTACCGGGCTAACAATCAGGCGGGATACGTACTTCATACATTTATTTCCCTTGGTGAATTTGAATAGAGCAGGAACAACAGTGGTTTGTGCAGAATAATATGGTACCATCATTTATTTCGTTGGCGTCTCATCATTTGCTTATAGCCCAAATAAATCATGAGGTTTGTGTACAGAAAAGTAATGAATTGAGTAATGATGTACTGAGTTCAACTGGAGTCATAGAAATAAGTGACAAGGAAAATCACACTATATCAAAGGTGTTTGAAGTTAAAGCCAAAGATTACATAATCAGTCGAAAGAGATAATACAGACATGCAGTTACCAGGGTAGGAATATCTAATAGCTGCTTCTTTCTGAACACAAAGCTGGTTTCAAGCGTTTGATAGAAATTACTTTGGCAAACTTGAGGAGAGTCGATCTCCTTTGTTTATTGATAATTTCAAAGGATTCCGCGATTTCCACCTCATGGCCTGTATCAAGTAGATGTCTGGTAATAGCGCTATTATTAGATTTTGTTCCCTTAAGCCGTAGGTTTTTCGGCACATGTTCTGGAAATCAGAGGTGTTCCCTTCTTTCTGTTCTCCCAATGTAACTGCTCCCGCAGATGCACATAAATTTGCATACACAGTTGGAGTTAACATGAGAAGGGTATCTGTTGACTTTTGACTGCACCGAAGAGCATGTTGTTCGATAGACAGGAACCAACTTAGCTGCAGGATAGGCTCTGGTTAGCGACCTACTCAGTCTTCTGTTGACCATTGGTGCAATGTTTTCACCTTTAAAATCTAGTTGATTGAAGACAGGCTTTTTTCAACTATGATTTGTTTGATGTTTGAGCCTTCACGTCTTCCAAATTCGTTAATGAATCTTTGAGGATAACCGTTGTTTTTTTCAACAAATTTTCGAGAATCGTAAATTCTTCCTCTAATTTCTCTGCAGACCATATTGTCGTCGCTCTACAGAGTCTTGACTAGTGCTCTTTTATAGCTATTTGGACCAAAACTATTAAAATGTAAATATAGTCCATTCCATGCCGGCTTTCGGCAAATTGACCTCTGGAGACTACCATCTTCTAGGCGTTGCATGGCAATGTCAACGAAATGGAACCTTCCATTATTTTTAAGTTCCATAGTGAGTTCAGTATTTGTATGTGCGTCGTTGAATAATCTGAGTAGGTAGGAAGCATGACTTTCATTGTAGCACACTACAAATGTTTCATCGATATATCGACAATAGGAAGTTGTTTCGTCAATTGCATGTTTCAACTTTGTTTTCGCAAGGTTTGACATGAAGATATATGCTAAAACAAAACATGACTTCACCATCTGTTTGTTGGCAAAGAGTGTATTGAAACTGGAATTCTACACCCATGGTACATATTAGCAATAGGCGTCTGAATTCCGACTCTGGGAGTGGGAGAAGATCAGACTGCTGACAAATGATCTCAATGGTTTCATTGATTGGGATCATTGTGAACAAGGAGGTTGCAACAAATGACGCCAAGAACTTATTTGAAACGTTCATGTGATTCACACTTTTGGCAAAATGAAATGGTGTGCACGGCTGGCCGCTGACGAATGAGTTCCAACTTATCCGCAAGCTAACGGGCAACCTTATGTTGGGGTTATCTGACCATCGAAAGTGTAGGTCTGCGAGGGACTTCTTCCTTGTGTGTCTTTGGAAGGCCGTATATGTGCGGAAAATGGGACCCTCAGAGTTTCAATTCATTGTATGTATTGTTGTCAATCAATTTCTTCTTTAGAAGATCTCTCGGTACGTTTGTGATGCGTTTTTCAGCTGCCTTTGTCTTGTCTTTCTGGCAGTCGTCGACTTTAAACTTCAACGGGTCATTCAGCACAGTTTTCATCTTCGCGATATAGTCATCTTTGTCCATTATCACCACTCCTGAGCCTTTGTCAGGTCGCAGTATGACGATTTTGTCATCATTTCTGAGAACTTTCAATGCAATTCGATGCTCTTCAGAGAGGCTTTTGGAATATGACGTTGGTGAAATGAGGTATTGATTTGTAACATCGACCAGTTTAGATTTAAACCAGCTCTTCTTGTCCTCATCAGCTGGAGTAAGGTCATTCAGTTGGTAGAATAAGTTTTCGAATTGAGCTGCGACATCGGTTCTTTTGACAAAGTTATTCGGGATATGAGATTTAAATCCGAGAGAAAGCGCTTCTATTTCAATGCGACTTAAATTTAAACTCAGTCAAAATTAGATAAGTATCCTGCTCATGTTAACTCCACTTGCATTTCCCATCTCACTTGCACTTGCGGCTGGAAGCACATAGGAAGAACTGAGTGGAGAGCGCCCACTATATTTTCGGAGAACGTCCCTAAAAGTTTACGTATTAAAGGCAGTAAAGTGTTCTCAAGTGTAATAGGCAGACACCTAATGGACACGGGATGTACAGTGGAAATTAGTCAAACTTTCAAAGTTAAGCTGGGGATAGTACTACATAAAGGATATAAGTCAGTGGTGTTTGAAGTCTACAAAGGTCTGTCTGATATGTGTATGGCATACCGAGTTTCCATATTCTAACATGCATTTTGTTCAAGTATGATTATTTTCCAAGTGAAGTAACTCTAAAAAATCTAAAATTTTTTAGTGATTCATGAAGTATTTGACTGCGTAAGCTGTAAAGGTCGTTTGATTAGGAATTAAAAATCAATGATTTGTGGCTCAGAATGTTGAAAATCAACCATAGTGATGCAGATGATTTTATCTTCTAGGAAGTGTTCATCGTTTTTAGTTGTTTTATTTCTCGTAACCGCCATCTTCCCCACATGTTTCGAAATGCGATATCCTGAACTTTTGCACTGATCTATTTATCTATGAATACTTTTTGTGATATTCTCCTACTGATGACTGCACTCCATGCGTGTATTTGGCTAATCACACTTTCCCAGCAGATGTTATCCGTGTATGAAATTTAACTTGACCTTATTTGCTACTCACTGATATAGATGCACGTGCACTACGAAGTTGCCTATCATCATTTGAAACGAATGATGACTGGTTTATTTTTATGTGTGCACGTTATTAACTAATGTAGCCTAATTTAGTAACCAAGAAAAGTGAGGTATGACGGGAAGCTAGCAAATCTACCGTATTAAAAACAACCCCAGAGCTACTAAAAATTAGAAGCACAGAACAAATGAACTTATTCTTCACTAGGATCGGGAAGACCTGTAAATTGGAGGACGGATGACCGGGAAGGTTAAAGCCTAACACGGGAGATACAACACAAATACCTATGATCAAAGACAAATAACTAGTCTTTTCA